AAAACAATTTATTCACTGATGCCTAATAAAAATACTTTATTGAAGACATTGAAAAGTAGAATTTGGATATCAATGAAATATTAAAACCTTTCCTGTATTAAAGATTTCTTGGAGGTAAAATTACTTAGCTAGGTGCAGCGTCTTACTATAACGCTAGGTTATCTCGCTGAACAATTATTCAAAAATTGAGGAATTTATCACGAATTAAAATTTTTGAAAAATTACTTGTTGAAGAAATTATTACAAACATTTATGGCCAGTCAATTTTATACGCACGGCAAAAACAATCACTCTTATACAATATCTCCAAACGAAATGCAAACTTTTTTGCAATATTAGATCTAACTGGATATAACAGATCACCATGAGAAAGGTTATACTGGCCATTAGATGGGTCCCTGTGTTTACAACGCTATTTGTATGAGCAGAGACAAGTACTTAGATATAAAAAAGTTTGTTCATCTAGCCAGAATAATGTTTCCATAATATTATTATCCTATGGTGAAATATTTCACCTAGCTGAACAATTTATTAAAGGGAAGCTAGTCAAATTTGGATATAAGAATTGATCCTAACTGGTTCCACTAGATATTATTATGGTTTTGACATTTATTGCGGAGAAAAACCAAATGATACTGAAGATACTAAAGGAAAAACAGTTGAAGCTAAAGTAGTGATTGATCTTTTGAAATACCTGCCCGAATCATCTAGAATTAAATTTTTTTTTGATAATTATTTCACGAAATATTAACTAATGATATATCTGAAACAAAAAAAAAATCATAAAGGCAACAGGAGTTGTAAGAGAAAATCGTGTACAAAAATGTCAAGTAATGGAGTCTAAAATTGTTTGCTTCTTTCAATTCTGGAGGTGTGGGAGTGGCTTAGATGCGCATGATCAGTAAATGTCATTATATATAGAATAAGTTTAAAAGGTAAAAAGTCATGGTGGGTTTTATTTACGTACTTTCTTGACATGCTCAGGGCCAATGCCTGGAAACCTCATCAAATTTCTACTGAAAATGTGGTGTAAATAGTGAGAATTCCGTTGTCATATAGTTATTTGGGAGATGGTATCACTTCAAGAACACAAAGAAATAGAAAAGCTAGTTCCAGAATTGAAGTCACCAAAGGCTATCATTTTCCAGGAAAACTGAAAAATAGTTAGTGTTCTGCGTGTCATATGAACGCAAGGTGGACATGCAAAAAGAGTGGAAAAATAATGTGTATAGAAAAATGATATTTTGAAAAATACCATACAAATACCTAAACCCATTTGAGGACGTCCTTGTATTTCCAAAATGTAATGGAATTCCTGACGCCTCAGCAACACGCTGAAATAAACAGTAGGTAAAAATAAAACAATTTTATTTTCAGTGTAACTTTAAACTTACTTCACGAACAGCAGAAATTGGTAATAAAGTTTGCCCAGCTTTTTTTCTAATTCAAAATATTTAAGTACTTTAAGTATAGAACTTGTTCCTTTTCCGAAAATCTTGGCATTTTAAAAATATTTTAATGAAAACCAAAACAAAATTAAAATATAAACAAATAATGCACAACAACGCTATGAAATAATGTCAAATACTGACCTGACTGAACCGACAAGATCACCTCACTCTTCGACACTTCTAAAGGATGGCCAAATGAATGGAGTTTTACATCCAATGTTCGTGACTCGCGTAACTGATTGTCTAGAGAAAGCGCGCATTTCAAATATCAACGAATCAAACGTAGGTTAAGAATAGACCGGTTATGTATGCAACGCTGTAATATTTTCGTGTTTAAATCACGGAACTGCCGCTTTTTTCATCACATCCAACTTAATGCGTTAGAAAGAAATCGAAAAACTGTGACGCACTAATAAAAGGCTCTGAAAAGGAGAATATAATTGCAGTTCCATCGACTTTTTCAGAGCTGCAATCTCAAAAGTGAAAATTGCTGTGATGATTACCAACCTCCTTAGAGGAGACGGTACCTAAAGAAGAAGACGACTTGCAAAAATATTTTTGTTAGATAATTTTGGTCTTTAGTGTACTTATACTTACCCCATGCCAAAGATATAGACGCCACCAACCATATGAAGCTGAGTACCAAATACACGTACATAAAGATGTTAAATGCTTTAGGATGTACATAATATTGTTTTTGTATTATATCAATGGGTTCTAAAACAAAAATAAAAAATTAGTAGAAATTTATTGTTTGTGTTTTATAGTATTTGGTTCTAAGGCTATGTAGAAACCAAACTTCTCGATGATACTGTGTGTGTAATCCTTTTGTATTTTGTGGATCGAGTATATAAATTGGTCCTATCTAAAGTCTGCTGTATTGCCTTTACAAAGAGTTTGTCTTATGCCCGAACTACTGCGACTTCTCGGAAGTTAATCGATCTGATAGATCTAGGATTATTTATGATTGTCAATCCGTATAATTTTAATGCTGTAGTAAACTTTACTCTATTCTCAGAGCATGTGATAATACAATTGAAAGATAAGAAGAACATAATAAACATCATACAAATGTACGCTCCTACAGCAGACAAAGACGAAGAGGAAATAAATAATTCTATATGATATTTAAATTCTATAATACTTTAAACGAGGTGATGAGAACAACAAAGAGACAACACATTAACATAGTAATTGGCGATCTGAACGCCAAGGTAAGTCAGGGTAAAGTTGGAGAATATATCGGTGAATATGGCTTAGGTAATAGAAATGAAAGGGGTGATCGTTTAGTTCAGTTTTGTCAAAGCGAAGATTTAATAATATCTAATACATTCTTTAAATTACCCCTAAGGGCTCTTGTTAACGAACGTTTTTTTCAACCGGTAACGGGCCTATGCTAAACGGGTACCCTTGTTGACGGTTCATAATTTTCAAAAGATATGTGTACGTTGACGGTATGGAATCTCCGAAATATCGTCAGTTTTAAAGTAACAAGTGCATGCAATACATGTTATATTATGTTGTGGTCAAAGAAAAAAATTATACTAGCCTATTATTTATATAAAAAATGCAGAAGCAACGGGAGAAACGTAAAAGAAAAATATGGATACATCCTATTTTACTAGAAAGAGAAAAGTATGGTGCTTTTCATACACTTTACGAAGAATTAAAAAAAGACGAAACAAAATTCTTTAATTAGTTCCGAATAGGTCAAGAAACTTTCCGCAAATTGTTAGGAATAATACCTGATAAATTAAAACGTGCTGACAATAATATGAGGCTATTCATTGCACCTGCTGATCGACTAGCTGTTACCTATGTATGAATTATGCTATTGGTATAACAGAATATTTTAGCGGCAACAAAGAAAGAAATTTATTGAAACAACGGATGCTCACCCAACGCCATTAACACACTTCCATAAACCAAAAAGGTTCACTGAGGGTTCACGGTACCGTCCCGTCAAACGTCTTGCCGAGGAGGACTGGATACGTAGACGGTGAAAAGTTAACCGTGAGTTGGTTGCCGTTGCGTGAACACACATTCATAAGAACCTGAAAGACACTGAGCAACGTCCAAAGGGACGGTGTCAAAAACGTCACGTTGAACGTTGTCGTTAACAAAAGCTCTAAGGCGATTGTATACGTAGACGCCACTTCAACACACTCAAGAAAAAGTAATCAGAAACTAAATAGATTACATAATCGTGACAAAAAGATACCGTAATGCCGTGAAATCTACTAAAACTTAATTATGATTTATAACTGGGAATAAGCCACAATTAAGGATAAAAATACGTTTATTGACGTTTCAATTTCCAATTCGGAAATCGTTCTCAAAATACAAATAGTATTTTTAATACACACTATTTGTATTTTGAGAACGATTTCCGAATTGGAAATTGAAACGTCAATAAACGTATTTTTATCCTTAATTGTGGCTTATTCCCAGTTATAAATCATAATTAATTTACAATGCCACAAGAAAATAGCTTCACAACAATACTACTAAAACTTATCCTGGAGATGATATTGGTTCGGATCATAATCCAGTAGTATCTGAGATACAAGCTAGACCAAAGAAAATAAGAAAAATTATCATCCCAGCGTTAGACTTAAGCCAGCTTAAAAGTGAATACCTACGACAAACAGTGCAAGAAGAAATAAACACCTGCCTCAGTATAGCAGAAAGTCAAATCCGCAGAACAGACAACATAGATGAAAAACTTAAGTATATAAACATTACAATAAGAACTACGGGAAAGAAACACCTAACCAGATGTGCAATGAAACCCAAGGTATGGATGACAACAGACATACTAGAACTAATGGATGAAAGACGTAAAATGAAGAAGAATGCACAAAAATACAGAGAGGTTGATAAGAACATAAAGTAAAGAATAAAGAAGGCCAAAGAATTATGGGTTGAATAACAATGTGCAGAAATGGAAAACTATGAAAGAAAATGTGGCCATTCAATGTACATAAAAAAGTAAAAGAAATTACAAGAACTCAAAGAATACATAAGTTTGCTTAAGAACAAAGTCGGAAAGATTATTATAGATTTAACAAAGAAAATTAACAGAGGGAATGAATACATAAGAGAATTGTTTGGGAACAACAGAAATATCATTGTTCAGGTAAATGGTGAAACGGGACCTGAAATCCTAAAATGTGAAGTAGAAGTGACCTGATGAGGTTCCTACTGAATTGCTAAAGTTCTTGAATGATGACTCAATAGGTATAATATTGCACTTATTTAACACAATATACAAAACTGGTATTATACCTGTTGAGTGGCTGTTGTCTACATTCGTTACACTGTCAAAGAAATCCAATGCAAAAGAATGTTCAGAACATCGAACAATATGTTTAATGAGCCATTTACTAAAGATATTTCTAAAAGTCATCCACAACCGAGTTTATCAAAAGTTGGATTCAGATATTAGTGATACACAGATGGGGTTCAGAAAATGACTAGGTCCTCGAGAAGCTCTCTTCGGTTTGAACGTTCTTACACAAAGATGCCTAGACGTTAATCAGGAAGTACATGAATGTTTTATCGATTTTGAAAAAGCGTTTGGCAGAGTACGCCATGATAAGCTAAGAGACATTCTTGAAAGAAAGGACATAGATAATAAAGATCTGCGAATAATTGTCAATCTATATTGGAATCAGAAAGCTAACATCAAAATAGAAAATGAGATATCACAAGCAATAGAAATACGTAGAGGAGTACGACAGGGATGCATTTTGTCACCGCTGCTATTGATTGTTTATAGTGAAAGCGTCTGCCAGGAAATCCTTTTGCAAGCAAACGAAGGAATTGTAATCAATGGAGAGGTTGTAAATAATATTCGATACGCAGACGACCCTGTACTAGTTGTAAGAATAGTAGAAGAATTACAACGATTACTTACAAATATAAATATTGCCTGCAACAATTATGGCATAAATATCAATATAAAAAAAAACAAGTATATGGTCTTCAGTAAAACATGACACCACCAGCACATATTAGTATAAACTGCATTCAAATTGCAAAAGTATCAAGTTACAAATATTTGGGGACTTCAATAAACGAAACTGGGGACCAAAACAATGAAATAAAAAGACGTATCGAAATTGCCAGGGCCACCTTCATAAAGATGAGGAAATTCTTCTGCAACAGAGATATAAGCATCCCTCTACGATTAAAAATGCTAAGGGGCTACGTATTTAAGACGCTATTATACGGTGTAGAGGCCTGGACTCTCAAACAGAACAACATAAAAAATATTGGAAATTTCGACCCTATTGTCAAATTCTGAAGATAAGTTGGGTTGAAAGAGCTATAAACTTTGAAGTAATATGAAGGATAGGAAAAGATCCAGAAATTTTTTCAACGATCAAACAAAGAAAACTCGAATATTTGGGTCACCTGATGAGAGGACATAAATACGCATTACTTCAAAATATAATGAAAGGAAAAATAGAAGGAAAGCGGAATCCAGGCAGTAGAAAAATGTCATGGTTGCCTAATTTGAGAGAGTGGTTTGGCTGTACCACTAATAAAGTCCTTAGGTCAGCTGTAAACAAGGTCAGGATAGCCTTGATGATTTCCAATCTCCGATAGGAGTGGCACAAGAAGAAGATAATTTTAATTTAACAATCATAGATTCCTAATAATGACATATTAAATCACGTTATGACTGTACTTATAAATAATATCTTTATTGAATATTGACATAAATCATGATATTTTACTCTGTATTTATAGGTGTTTACGAGAGGAGCTGAAATCGACTCGGACCATTACCTCGTTAAAGTCACATGTGGGAGGAAGCTGGAAGAAAAAGAGAAATCGAACAATAAAACGAAGAAAAAGTACAATATTGAAAAACTTAAGGAAGTAGAAATTAAAATAAATATGAAGGAGAAATAAATAAAATTCTACAACAATGTGACCAAAATTTAGAGACAGATCAAGCCTGGGAACAAATTAAATCTGCTGTAGGAGAAGCTAGCGAGAAAATAGTTAAGTGAGACTCCAAGAGAAGTACAAACAAAGATTGGTTTGACGAAGAGTGTCAGGCGATAGCAAAGGAAAAAAAGAAGATCAGACAACAAATATTAACAGATAATAGAGAGTGTAAAAAACAAGAATATAGAATAATTCGAGGAAGATTGAAAGCTCTGTGTGGAAGGAAAAATAGATACCACAATGAGTTGAAATTAAAAGAGATAGAAGAGAAGTTTAAAAACAAAGAGGTGAGGTCGTTCTATCAAGAAGTTAAAAAGATGGGAAAAGGTTACCAAAGCCACTGTAGTTATATGAAAGGTAAAGACGGAAATTTCATTAGCGATCCGGCAGGAATAATGACGGAATGAAAAAAAAAACATTTTGAAGAATTATTAAATGGTGAGGAGGACCACGAAGCAGTAGACAACTGGACAGTTGGAGAAGCTGCGATAGTTGAAAGGCAGCCTACAGAGGAGGAGGTGGTGACAGCAATACAAGAAATGAAAAACAACAGAAGTCCCGGTAAAAATGACATATGCATAGAAATAATCAAGTTTAGTGGAGAACAACTACAAAGAAAAATATATCAGCTACTAGTGCAAGTATGGGAAAAGAAAGTAATGCCATCTGAGTGGTATGAGGCCCGCATATACCCTCTGCATAAAAAAGGAGACAAACTGAAGTGTGACAACTATAGAGGAATAGCCTTATTAGACATGGTATATAAAATCTTGGCAAGAATATTGAGAAATAAACTAAATTGCTACACGGAATCCTGCGTGAATATCAGGCCGGCTTTAGAAAGGACAAATTTACTGTAGACCAAATCTTCTCATTAAAGGAGATACAAACGACTTGTCATGAAGGTGAAGTTCCCCTGCATGTTTTGTTTGTGGATTTTAGACAAGTAGATGATAGAGTCGATAGAGTCAAAATGTATCGACCAATGGAACATTTGGGTATACCAAAGAAACTGATCCAGCTAGTTAAAATGACATTTAATAACTCTACGTGTGAAATTGCTTGGCAGGGTCACATATCAGATCAATTTACAGTTGCAAAAGGCTTGAGACAGGGAGATCCTTTATCCACTACATTATTCAACTTAGTGTTAGAAACTGTAATCAGAAAATGCAGCATGAAGGTGGAAGAAACGATCGTGAAAAATAAGCACTAGTGCTTGGCATTTGCTGACGATCTAACGATCCTAGCAAAAACCAAGAAAGAATTAAGAAGAGTTGGACGAAAATCATCGAAGGAGCACAGAAATTCGGATTGGAACTAAATGAAGACAAAACCAAATATATGATCATGGGAGGGACAGAAGGGAAAAAAGAAGACTTTAGTGTGAGGTCAGTAAGTGGTAAAATTCAAATTTGAATACCTGGGTGTAGTTTTCGATGAAAATGAAAAAGAGAAATGGGAGCTCGAAGCCAGAATAGCAAAAGGAAATAAAAAATTAGGTAGTTTAAGAGCCATACTGAACTGAAAATACGTTTCTAGACAAGGTAAACTCGGAATATATTAAACAGTAATTCGACCTACAGTAACATATGCCTGTGAGACATGGACATTAAATAAGAAGGAAGAGGATACTCTGGAAAGATCGGAAAGGAAAATATTGAGACGGATATTCGGAGGACGGAAGATGGTTGGGAGAGAAGAACCAACAATGAATTAATGGCTTTATACAAAGAATCTACCATTACCAAGTTCGTCAAGGCACAAACAATCAGATGGTTGGGACATGTGGAAAGAATGGCAGCAAACAGAATGCCTAAACTAGTAATAACCAGAACATTAATCGGCCCAAAAGAAGAGGTAGACCCAGAACGAGGTGGATTAGTAAAGCGGAGGAAGACATTAAACACGTGAAGGTGAGGGACTGGAAAATAAAAGCACAAAATAGAAGCGAATGGAGAAATATTGTACACCAGGTCCTTCAGAGTAGTTAAGAATGTTATATATATATATATATATATATATATATATATATATATATATATATATATATATACATATTTAAGTTAAGGTTGTGTTAAAAATAATTGTAATTAGTTAATATTAGGATTATATTGTAAAAAAAGGCCCTAGGCCTTAACGGCCTGTTGTGCGTAAAAATAAATATTTTATATATTTTTTCGTAGTATGTGGTTTAGTAGTAACTACCAATTTTTTTATTCTAGTCTCTACTACTCTAGAGTAAAAATTTAAAAGAGTACACATTTAAAGTTACACCGGCTATTGTGCCCAGGACACTCGTCCATTTGAAACCAAATTTCTTCTTCATCTGAGGTTACTTCTAGGTATCTCTCAGTAAAATCTCTTCTTGTAAGAAGTCCAGACACTTTTTTGAATTTAAATTTTCATCATAGAAGAATGTAATTAAAATATTATTAAATATTTTCTTTCTTTGGAAAACACTGCATCAATAAGAGCTTTGTGTTTTGGGATCCACAGATGCCACCCAAGATGATTACGTATTATGTAGATTCAAATTGTGAAATGATTTGGAAACAAAATAAAATACTTACGTAGATAATAATTATAAATTATATATCCATAGCTTGTTTTTGATAACGAATCCGATATTCCAATGATGTTATTATAACAAAATATTGCTAATAATGATAGCGTGAACCATATAGCTGCTTGAATCTAAAAAAGAAAAAAAAGGCTATATTTAAAATATTAGTTTGTATTGACAGCAATATCAATATAAGACTGCGGATGAGAATTCTACGATATTATATTTTGTCCTTATGATCACAATCTAGTTGTTGCCGAATTCAGGTTAAATCTAAAACTTAGCTATGTTATATATTAATCCTGCATCGGAAAAGTACACACTTCGAAAAGATTGGACCTTTTGAGGGTGAGCCTTGGGTGAGATTATGTCATGTGGATGAACAGCTCCGAATTATGTTAACCCGTTTTATAATTTAATAAATAGTTATGTTTTGTTAGATTAGATTAGATTGTGTAAGGTCGTTAAGGCCATGCGGCCTCTCCGCACTTCAACCTATAGAGATCTTTTGTGCATACCTTAATCTAGTTAAACTCTAGAATGTCAATACTTCTGATGAAGTTGATTAGCTTCCTAGGTGACTTGTCTCCTATGTCAGAGAACGCCAGACTGACTTCTCCTAGTAATTTTAGTCGTTTGCAGAACAGTGCTACGCAGTTGCATAGTAGATGTTTTGCTGTTTCTTTTTCATTGTGACATAAACGACAGTTCTCACTATCTGATTTGCCCATCTTCTTGAGATGATATCTTAGAGGGCAGTGACCAGTGAGAAGGCCAGTGACCATTTTGATATCTTTCTTACTTATTTCGAGAAGGCGGTTTGTTGCAGTAGGCGATACTTTTATAAGCCTTTTTGCTTGCCTTTGTCCTGGTGTGTTAGACCAATATGATCTTAGTTGATTGAGTTCCCAGGTACGGAGTTCCTCTCTGATGTGGCTTTTCGATAGTCCATAAAAGGGTTCCGGACCCTGGAATGGGGTATTAGCTTCTTCTTTTGCGAGGCTGTCAGCTTCCTCATTTCCTGCAATTCCCTTGTGAGCTGGCACCCACATCACAGTTACACTGTTGCGTTCCGCCAGCTTCTTGAGAGATTGTTTACAGTCCCAAACCAACTTTGACTCACATGTAAATGACTTTAGAGCCTTTAAGGCGGCTTGGCTGTCTGATAAAATAAAGACTTTTGCCCTACGGGTGTCTCGGTTGAGACATTCTTGGGCACTTATGTCTATAGCATGTATTTCTGCCTGGAAGATAGTTGGGGCGTTTCCAAGAGATTTAGGTAGTCTGACATTGGGCCCAGTAACTCCCACTCCTGCCCTTTCATCTATCTTAGATCCATCCGTATACCATACGAGTGAACCTTTATTAGTCTGTGCTTTATTAAATGCGCAACATATTTGGTGACGAGTCACAGGAAGAATTCTACGTAAAAGTCGAAAAATGTCGTTAATTGGGGCCATTGAACAATTCGATCCTACTAAAATTGATGTCACGTCTTATCTAGAGAGACTT